GTGGAGGTATATATTTTGTCTTATCCCCTTCTAGACTTTATATCTCTTCTATATTTACAGCAGGCATGTTTTTCCCTCTCACAGTAGATTGTAAGCTCCTTGAGGTCAGAGATTATTTCATTTTTATTCTACAACAGCAGCTAGCATGCAGCAGGTGCTTAATAAATACCTGTTGGACTGGGTTGGATTGTAAACTCCATGTGGACAGTGACTCTGTCTTAGCTAAACTTTTTATTTTCCCTCATCACAGTCCTTACCATAGAGGATGCTAAAAAATTTGGATAATGAATAATTGAGTGAGTGAAGGTATGTATATAGGTGATAATATGCAAATGAAGCCTTAGGAGAGGTGCAATAACTCCCTAGAAGTTCCCAAAAAGCTGTCTCCTAGATAAAGTTGACCACCCACCCACTGGTAATGGTATAAGGACATTTCTTCTTTAGATACAAATTTGACTATGTGGCCTTTGAGGGATCTTCCAACTCTGAGATTCAGAAATCCTTACTTATCTCACCTTGCTAAAGCTAGTTCGTAGAAACGACTGGAATTCCAGTCTTCTGACAGAAGTCCCATCAGTGCACCAAACCTCTGTTTTCTCCTGAAAATAGAGGGAAGGTAAAAGATATGTGTGCATGTATGTGCATATATGTATATGTGTATAGATATAGATATTTGTATGTATACGTGACCGTGTGTACATTCTGGATAACTGAGATTTTTCCATGAGCTGTTACCAGAGTTCCATAAACCACAGAGTTTTTGATCTGGATGGAACCTTTGAGAACATTTAGTCCATCTCCTCCATTTGACAAAAGAGGAAACATTATCTGATCTGGTTTGATTTGCAAAATCTTTTCAATATCTTATTTTTAGATATAGTCAGACTATAACGTTTGGCTTATCTTTTAAAAATGATAGTATCTCATATCTCTACCCACTTTCAAGTTTATAGAGAATTCTCTTCATGATAATCCATTGAGGTAAATGGTGCTGGTAATTATTATTATCTTCAGTTTACAGATGAGGAAACTGATGATAAAAGAGGTTTAAGTACCTGTACTGTTTTCTCAACATTTTGACACATTCTTAATACTTTAAAAGTTGTTTAATGAAGTTCTCTCAGTACTTTCGGAAAGGGCATAGATGGCTCTTTCAATTTCAAAGATAACACAAAGCTCAGGAGGATGTCTAACACACTTGATAACGGAGTCAAGATCCAAAAATATCTTGACAGGCTAGTATGTTGGGTTAAATCTAATACAATAATTAATTATAATAATTGCTATCACTTACATAGTGCTTTAAGGTTTCTAAAATGCTGTACAAATAGCATCTCATTTTATCCTCCAAATTTTGGGAAGTAGGTTCTATTTTATCCCTATTTTACAGATGAGGAAACTGAGGCAGAAAGAAGTGACTTGTCTCAGGTCATAAAACTAGTAAGTGTTTGAACCTGTATTTGACTCTTGCTCCAGCACTCTATCCACTGAACCATCCAGCATTTAATATAGATAAATGCAAAGTCCAGCTTTGGGTTCAAAAAATGAAATTCACATTATCAGATGGGGGGTACATTATATAGCAGTGTATTTGAAAATGATGTGGGGGTTTTAGAGGACCACAAGCTCAATGGAAATCGTGAGGGTGATGTGATGGACAAAAAAACTGGTTTGATCATGGGCTGCATGAAGAGGTGCATAGATTCCAGGAATACAAGGTGAGTGTTCCGTTGCACTCTGTCTTCACCACACCCCGTACACAGTGTTTTGCTCAGTTCTGGGCACCACGGTTTGGGAAGGACATTGATAGGCTGAAGAATGTCAAGAGGAGGGCAGCTGAGCTAGCGAAGGGCCCTCCCTCACTCTGTTTTATAACAGAGCAGGCTGAAGGAGCTGAGGATGCTTAGGCAGAGAAGGAAGAAGCCAGGATGGCCACGCTAACTGCCCAGATGTATTTGATGAATGATACTTTGTGCCACTCCTCTGACCCTCTAAGTTCTGTCCTCTGGGGCCAAGCAGGATCAACCAAGTTCATCTTACCTATGGTAGCCCTTCAGACCCTGGAAAATGGGCTCCTCTCCTCCCCATTCCCCACTCTCCACCTTCATCAGGCCCCATTTGGCTCTAGGATCTTTGACAGTTTGTCAGTTTCCAGTGGTAGATGACCAGAAATCCCTTCTCCTGACCACTTCACCTCCCTACCCTTGCTCCATAGACTTATGGGGTTTTAGACATGAAGGGACGGCAGCGAAGACAGTAGCTTGGTAAAATGGAAAGATCATGGAATTTCGAGTCACAGAACCTGTGCTCAAATTCTGCCTCTGCCATCCACCATCTGCATGACGTTGTATGGGATAGCTAGGTGGCACAGTAGAAAGAATGCCAGGCCTGGAGTCAGAAGATCTACGTTCAGTTCCAGCCTCAGACAGTTACTAGGTGTGTATCCCTGGGCAAGTCACTTAACCCTGCTTGCCTCAGTTTCCTCATCTGTAAAATGAGCTGGAGAAGGAAACGGCAAGACGCTCGAGTCTCTGCCAAATGGGGTCACAGACAGTCGGACACAGCTGAACGACAATATTGTACAATTGACTTCACTTCTCAGGCCTCAGTTTCCTCAACTGTTAAATGAGGGATTTAAACCAGATGACCTTCAAGGTCCCTTCCAGGCCTCAATTCATGGCCTTTTGATTATCTGGTCCAGGATTTCCCCTTGTGGATGGAACGCACCTCTGAAGCAACAGAGTTATAGGAAAGGGTCTGTTAATAGATGAATGCATTGTCATTTTGGCCTTTAGTGTTAAAAAAATCAAGAGTGTGACTCGTAATAAACAATCAAATACTCCTTCTGTAGGCTGAATATGTCTCCCACATCCACATATTACTATCTTCCAACTGTTTGTAAATGTTGTTGGTGAATAAATCACAAATTCATTTAAAACACAAATGACTTTCTAGCATCTTTTTGTCACCGTGCATTTGCTGCATCAATGGATCCCAATCAGTCAATCATTGTGCTGAGGATGCAAAGCTCAAAATGAAGCAGTTCCTGTCATCAAGGAGCTTACATTCTGTTGGAGGAGAGAATAGGTAAACATATGCAAGAAATATTGAGAATTGGGGGAGCTAGGTGGCTCAGTGGATAGAGCGTTTGTCCCTGATGTCAGGAGGACCAGAGTTCAAATCTGACCTCAGACCAAACACTTGACACTTACTAGCTCTGTGACCCTGGGCACACAGCTTAACCCCAATTTCCTAAAAAAAAAAAAAAAAAGAAAAGAAATAGAGAATTGAAAACAAAGTAATTGGAGGGAAGATATGAGAGGGTGAAAAAATCAACAAGCTTTTGTTGTTTGACCATTTCAGTCGTGTCTGACTCTTCATGATACCATTTGGGGTTTTCTTGGCAGAAGTACTGAAGTGGTTGGCCATTCCCTTCTTCAGCTCGTTTTACAGATGAGGAAACTGAGGCAAACAGGGTTAAATGACTTGACCAGGGTCACACAGCTTGTAAGTGTGTGAGGCCAGACTTGAACACAGGAAGATGGATCTTCCTGATTCCAGGCCTAGAGCTCTGTGCACTATGGCGCCACCTAGCTGCCCCCTGGACAGCTCTCTAAGACTGTAGGATGCCCCATTGGTGCTGGTCTGCAGTGAGATAAGAGGTTTCCTTCCTAGGAACTCCCTACCCTGATGAAATTTCAGGTCTGGTCCCAAAAAGGTACATAAGAAGTGGTGTGGCAAAGCTTTGTTTGGTAGTTGAGCACCAGGATAGCCCTGGGGTTGCTCTTTTCCAAATCCTCTCTATCTGCTGTGTTCACTGCTCACCTTCCCACAAAGGTGGTGGGGAGTCCAAGGAGCTTTTTTTTTTTTCTTGCTGCCTTGTGGTGGCAATCAGGGGCTTTCAGGAGCAGGCTGTGGCTTCCAGGAGTTCAATGGCTCATACAGTCATTTATAGATCCTGCCCCAATACGGCCCCGTCATTGCCTTCAGATCAAAGCTCACTACTCATCCCTTTGCCTGTGATCACTGCCCTGCCATCGGTGGCCCATTAGGGATCTGATGAGTATCTTTGGATCATCCCCACTGGATGGCTGGGCTGTTTCTAAGTGACATGACCCTTTGGGAGTTCAAGGGCATCCTGCTCTACTGAGAAGGACCTGAATGGGAGGCAGGAAAATTGGCTTTGACCTTTACTTTGCCATAAGCCAGCTGTGTGACCCTGGGCAAGTCAAGATGATTGAGTAAAGGAACTGAGAAGAGAGACTGGAGGAGGAGTGGGGGGGTAGGGCACGATATTTATTTTCAGGTACCTGAAGAGCTTCTTCATGGAGGGGGGTTACCACTCATTCTGCCTGGCCCTGATACTGTATGCATTAATGGAAAATGCAAAGAGCCAGTTTAGGCTTGAGATCGGGAAACACATCCTAAATAATTGGAGCTGTCCCACAGTACAATGGGTGGCCTGATGGCGGGGGAGTAGGTCTCCTCTCTGTCCCCTCCCCAGCCCCCCTTCCCATGACTTCTGCTGAAGATCTTCAAGCATGGGCTGGATGGTTACTCGTCAGGGCTGTGTAGATTCTTGTTCAAGGACAGGTCGGACAATACAGCCTGTGAAGTCCCTTCCTGTTCTGAGATTCTGGGATCTCTGTGCTGCTGATTTCTTATTTAAAAAATAGTGGATGTTTTAGAAGCATGCTGTCTGTTTCGTGGGGTATTTGCAGTTATAAGGACTGGTAGATATTAAAGTATTTTTGGAGACAGCTTGACATACTGAGTAGAAAATTGAGTTCAAATCCTCCCTGGGGTGGAAAAACCTGGCTTTCAGAGCCTGGGTTAGGGTTAGCTAACTTTAGGTGGTATCAAACTCAAGTAGAAGCATCCCTGCTGGCCGACTTAGAAAACCACAAATTAAAATGATCTATGTTGTATTGTACTTTTATTTTTATTTTTGATAAATTTATGTTTATTTTATTTTTTATTGTGTTAAACAGGCCCCATGATTATATTTTAATTTGGTTCCCAATCCTCAGGAATTTGAAACCTCTGCTCTAGACAACTCTCTAAGAGTCTAAGTTACAAAAAAGGTGCATACCTGCATTAGTAGAGGGAGTTTCTTTCCTTAGAAGGTCCCTATCCCAGTGAAACCCCATGTCCAGTCCCCATTGCTAACCAGAAAGCGTTTTTAAAACACAATTTGTAATTCACCGGTAGTACGGGAGGCAGCACAAGCTAGGCCAGAGCTGGGTCACTGGGCTGAAAGTCAGGAGTCATGGCCTTTCATCCTCCAGACACTTCTGAGCTGTGTAGCCATGGACCACTCACACACCTTCTGTAAACCTCAGTTTTTGCATCTACAAAGTAAGGAGAATTAGTCTTAAAGTACTCACATCGCAAAATCATTATAAGGAACATGCTTGGAAAGCCTTAAAGCATTTTGTAAGTTCGTATTATTGTCATTAACAATATTCATGACAGAAATGGCCACTAGGTACAGAATTTCTCCAAGGTTTAATGGGGCTGGATTCGAAAACCTTGTAAGGGCCCAGAGAGTCTGTGCACGTTAGATTGTGCACTCCTTGAGGGCAGAGTCTGGTTTTGCCTTTCTTTGTCTCTCTAGCATTTAACATAGCTCTTGGTGCATAATAGGCACTTACAAATGTTTGTTGCCTGACTGACCAACATAATGGGTTTGGTAAATAAAGACTTTGTTGTTTGAAAGTTGTGCGTTAACTCTCCCAAGTGGGATGTTTGCTGGGGTTGGGGAACCCTTGCTATCATTGGGCACATGGGCAGGAACTGCTATAGCTTCCTCCCCAGATCATGATCATCAATTGCACAGCTGATGTTGAGATGACATTCTGGGGTTTAAGAAGAGCCTTCAGTGGAATAGAAAAAGTCCCAGTCTTGGAATAATGGTTTGGCTTTAGTTCCTTGGTTTGTCAATCACGTATTGTATGGCTCTGAGTGAATATTAACCTCTGGATGTCCCAGTTTTCCCATCGATAAAATAAGATCACCGATATTCACTTGCGTGGGTGGTTGGGAGGTAAGCAGTTTGTAAACCTTGAAGTCTTACAGAGATGTGAGCCACCAGCTTACCAGCTCCTTATAACCCAGAAAGCTGATTCCTCAGGTGTTCTGGACACCCACCTGCCCTCTCCATCTCCTCTCCTGCCACTTCTGACATCCATCTGTCTCTACATGGGAGGGTGAATGCCTACCATATGATATCCATTGATGCTTTCATGGGCCTGCTCTTTTCTAGAATCCTTACAGACATCTCTCATTAGGCTCTAAGTTCCACGAGGGCAGAGACTGTGCATCCTTCTTCTTTGCGTTATCTCATCACCACCTCATGGTACATTTAAGTAATGGCTCTGACTTCTCTCTCTCCCCGACCTCCTCTCTCTGTCTCCTTCCCTGTCTCTCCTTTCTCTCTTTCTGTCTTTCTGCCTCTATCTCTCTGTCTGACTCACAGAAAAGTTGCCCATCTTAGATAAGGTTTCCTCATTTATAGGATAGGAATACTACGAGTGAGGGATATGGAGAAAAAAAATGAATGGGTGCTTGCCCCAATCTGTGGTCTTTTCCCATGGGTTGAAGTCACCCTATATGAAGACCACGAAGTTGGAAGAATGGTTGCTTTTTTCATCAAATGAGGCCAACGGGAGAGAGCAGGAGTTTAGGTGCAGCCCACAGGGGACTGTTTGTATCAAATTCCCAGCCTCTGCAGCATGTTTTCAGGCTGCAGAGAAGGCTGACTCATGAGGCAAATGGTTACAGATGTCAGAAAAATAACTGGGAGGAGTTCTTCAGGCTGAGGTCGAAAAATGGGAACACGATGTTGTGCTGCACTGGCATCACTCATGTGTTTTCTGGCACACACGGGTCAACGCAGATTTCAATGGCATGGCTAAATGCACTTAGCTAGCCTTTCTGGTCTCAATGATAAGATTGCAGATCAGTTGGAAAGAGGGAGAGGAGGATGTATCAGTTTGGTTCAAATTTGCCATCTCAGGGTTTAGCGCTGGGAGAGACCTGGGAGGCTATCTACCTAATTCTTCCATTTTACAGAAAGAGAAACAGAATACTAGAGAGAGAAGTGATTTACCCAGGGTCATCCATGGGGAAAGTTGAGCAAGGTCGAAATTTGAAGCTAATTCCTCCGACTCCAGATCTAAGCTAATTCAAGGTCATCTGAATGCTTATTGGGTGGGGCCAAGCACAAGCACTGGGCGCAAAACGATTTCTGCCCTCCAGGATCCCACAATCCATTTAGAAAAGAATATGTACATAGTTAAGGTGTTCTTTCCATTGCACTAAACTGGCTCTTCAGCCTCCAACCAGCCTTTCTTAAATCATTGATATTCTCAGCTGACAGCACCCAGAGGCTGAATATTGCCTGCACTCACCTAATATGTCTTTGAGAAAGAATAATAGGAGTCAGCTTTCTTCAAAGTTTCTCCTCCAACTTCTTTGTTGCAGCCAAATGTCTGTGTTTTGCTTTTGCTGGTCTATCTCCATACTTACTATAAAGGTTCTCAACATCATTTCAACGTGCTGGTTTCGAAGTAATTACTGCAGTCTCTCTCATGGTCCCCAGAGGGCTGTGGGGTCTTGAGATTTTAACAATTAATGAAGCATATGAAGTGTTTCCTTTGCATAGAACTTTGAAAGCATGCTGTTCTCAAAAGTCCAAAGCCTTGGCATTCTTCTCCCTCCTGAGATGGGATGCAGCCCATTGAGTCATTTTCATTTCGAACTGTTGGCTCGAGCAATAAGTTATATAATGCCACGAGTTCTTAGAATTGAACTACATTGGTCTTCTGATGGCAGAAAAATCTTGAAATTTTGTTTAGTAGAGACAGCACTTGCCCTAAAATATGGATTATTAACCTTTTTTGTGGTCCTGAATTCCTTTGGTGGTCTGGTGAAGTCCATGGACCTTTCCCCAGAATCGTGTTTTTTTAAATGAATAAAACAGCTACATAGGATTATGAAGGAAATTGATGATACTGAAATTCAGTTATCAAAATATTTTTAATAAACAAATTCATGGATCCCAGGTTAAGAATCCTTGCTTTAACACCAGAGTACAATCTAGGCTCTGATGCTTACCATCTATGTAACCTGGAATAAGTCACTTCATCTGGCTGGGCTACAGATTCCTCTTTTATAACATGAGGTGATGGAACCTCTGAAGTCCATTACCCTAAATATGTCATCCTAGGGTATTATGAACTTTTGTGAAAATCAGATTTGAAGGAGCAGTAAGTGACAACTTATCTATGTACTTGTCTTTTATTTCCAAGGCTGAGGGCAAATAAAAATGGAAATGCTATCTTCCTAAGAACCACCTTGGAAGAGATCCTCCTCACTTTGTCATTGAGGGCTGCCTCTTGCCTCCTCCATCCCCCTTCCATTATAAGGCGAGTCTTTTCCCACTGTGAGATTATTTAACCATGGAGGCCATTCTCTTACCCCTAGCAAGGATATACTCTGTGTAACAAAATAGATTAAACAGGCAAGAAAATTGCTTTTGGATGGTTAATAACAGGCAACATTTACAAAATGCTCTAAGGTTTGCAGAGTACATGACAGATATTCATTTGGGCTTCACGATGACCCTGTAAGGTAAGGAGAACAGGTATTATTATTACATTTTACCAGGGTTGGAAAGTGAGTCTAATAGAAATCAACCAATCAATCAGCAAACATATTAAGCACCCATTATGTGTCAGGTGAACAGTCAGTTAACAAGCATTTGTTATGTACTTAATATGTATCAGGTACTGTGCTAAGCACTGGGATGCAAAGAGAAAAAAAGAAACCGATCCTCAACACTCAAGTGATCTGTCTTGGGTCACAGGGCTGCTTAGAGGCTGGTTTTTGAGCCCAAGTCTTCCTAATTCCAAATCCAGTCCACTAACTGTGTCCCCTGATCACTCTGCTTCTCTGAGATAGCTAAGTGTTAAAGCAGATGGAGTGCTGGGCTTTGAGTAGGGAAGACTTGGGTTCAAACCCACCCTATGATACTTACTAGCTGTGTAACCCTGGGTAAGTCACTTACCTTCTATCTGCCTCAGTTTCACCAACTGTAAAATGGGAATAATAATAGCATTTACTTTGTATTATTCTTGTGAGACTCAAATGAGTTAGAGAAAAGATTTGTAAAGCATTTAGCATAGTTCCTGGCTCATTGTAGATGCTGTATAAATACTAGCCATGATTATTATTAGTATTATTATTATTAGCATTTGAAGGATGTGGGCATAATTGTAGCTGCACCATTTCTATTATCTTTTTCAGATAATGCAGGATGACTACAGTTGAATATGAATTCATATTCATTTGCAGAAGGTAACAACCTGTATTAGTAGAGGGAATTTCTCTAGCCAATGAAATTGAAGGGCCAATCTCTCTCTTTATCCCTACCCCTATGGAATCAGCAATGCTTTTAAGTGACAATGCATTTTATTAGTCACACATTTTTGTGAGGGAACTCCAGCGTAGGAACTCACTTTGCTGATAATGACTGGCGCTTCATGGAAATTTACACTCTTAGAGAATCTCCTTGTGGGGAAGCAAGGAAAAGTGACTTGTCCAAGGTGCTGGATCAAGACTGGAACCCAGACCTTCCTGATTTGGAGAAGTCCATGATCCACCCTGCCACATTGCTTTATTACACCCATTTGAAAAATAGTGTGCATATTTGGAGACTATTATTTATTTAATTTAAGAGAAGCAGTGCAGCACAGTAAAAAGCACACTGGACTTTGAGTCAGAAGAGCTGGGTTCAAATCCTGGTTCCATCACTTACTACCCACATGAGCTGGGGCAGACCACTCAGCCCATGCAAGCCTCAGTCTCCTCATCTACAAAATGAGGGGCTTGGATTAAAGGACCTCTCAGGTCCTTTCCTGCTCTACAACTATGATCCTATATTTATTTATAGATAATAATAACTGTCATTTGGGTTGTACTTTAAGGTTCACAAAGCACTTTATAAATATTTTCTCAGGTCATACAACACTAGGAGGTAAGCACTATTATTGTGTCCATTTTTTGCAGGTGAAGGAACTGAGTCAGAGAAGTTACAGGACTTGCCCAGAATCACACAGCTAATAAGTATCTAAAGGAGGATTTGAACTCAGGTCTTCCTGACTGCAGGTCCAGCAGTCTCTCTACTGTGTCAACCAGCTTTCCCATATGGACTTTTCTCAGGTCTCTACAATAATGCCACAGCCCCTTCAGGGTTCCATAACTCTCAGCTGAGGAATCTCAGGCCTAGCCTGTATTCTTCACAATGGCTTTCCAGTAGAGGAAACATTGGCCCACAACCGTCTCAGGT